AGTTTTACAGATGATGAAGTGGGGCCAAACTATATGCTAACTTATTACCTATCAATAAAGGTGTAAACAGATGGTGCACCAGTCTTCCATATTAATGTGTACGGTTCTGGTGTGGCCTTCTGAAGAATATGTGAATGAAGTCATAACCTATATAAGAGGGCCCTTTAAATCCTGAAGGATTCAAAATACATGGAATTGGATGACACGGTAATGGAACATATGAGAATAGACTTGGCTGAATTACTTCATGCAACTGGAAGGTAAGAATTATGGTCTACTGGTATAAATAATTTCCTACCTTTTCATTTTACAGCAAACATCATAATTGTTTGGTGTTTCTCATTGTCTCATCATTATATACGATTCATCTTAGAGTAACAATGTCAAGGGTTATGGAACTTTTCGGTATTTCTCATTGGCTATTGTTGCTGTTTAAATTGTTTAAAACCAACTCATTATTCATTCCATGGGCATAACTTGTTTTTAAAGGTAAAAATTTAGGAAGATGTCATAAAACTATTCAAAGTGGAGCAGTAAAATTTGGTATTACATAAAGTAAAGGCTATTAAAAGTATGATTTTGGTTGTTGAACCAGTATATGGTAAATTGATAGTGCAAATACATGTGCTACATATGAGCAAACAAAAATGGCATTGGCAGCACAGTGATATAGTCTTTTTTTACTTTTATTTATTTTGATAAATTCTTAAAACACAAAGGAGAAAAAGGCCAAGCCTTTCTGGATGAATGCTTGTTAATAAATTGGAAGTACAAAGGAAAAGCACATCCCAGCCCATTTACTGTCACTTGTAAATCTTGCAACTTTCTGTTCATGCTCCAAAAAATTTTGTGGAAGACTAGCTAAGCGTAAGCTTGAAAATTATGATAAAAATTGTCCCCATGAGAGATATCCGATGGTACACTAAATTGCTGTAAGTGTTATAATTGCTGTAAGTGTTATATTCTAGGTCCAGATTTTGGATATAAACACTTTGAATATATAATTGATATATTATATTTATAGTAGATCTATTATTGTGTTGAATTAATATTCTAATAAATTCTATAGATTTAAGTCTTGGTAACTTGTTAATCATAAGCAAGTTATACTTGTACAATACAAATTACATATGATTGAATCTTAAATCATCCGCGACCTTAAGGAATAACGAGATATGAATATTATTATTATGGTTAGATCATCACACATAGCATTACTTACTTTCGAATGAGCAGCTGATATCATAAGCTAAAGTGTGGTAACACTTAAATGAACACGTGAATATTTTGTTATTAAACAAAATATTGGAGATACACTGGAGAGATTCTATATAGATAACTGTTTGAGTGTTATTGGTTAATTTCTAATATTCGATAGTAAAATTGATAATTTGACTTGAGGTAATCACAGTGCCCATATGTGGATAGTCATACTTTGATGATATTGAATATTGCTCTTCTAAGAGTTGCAAATACAACATCATTCTAGTAAATCAAGAATTATACGAATGTTGTGAATGATCAATAGACGATTTGTCACCCTTAGTTAATAAAAGGTTATGATCTACTCTTCATTCAGTTAAGTCAATAATAAAATCCTTAATCAAGATGCAGCTCATAAATCGAAAAGAGTTTTCAACTTGTAGTGACTTAATAGTAGGATGAAAGATATGATCGATAATCGGTATTGACACACTTCCATATCTCATAATTGATTGGATCATATTAATGAAGGGAATATAATTCCACAGTAAACAAACAAGTTCGATTTTATCATATGTGACATTTTTTATCTCGTATATTGTCCTAACACATTGTTAAATGTCAATTTGAGATGACGAATGTGAATATGTGATAAATCATAAGGGGGCATTTTAATTTATCGATTTTGATTAGATCAAAATAATAATTCATGCCTTTATTGTGATAGAAAACCTAATGGGTTGCATCAAATGAGAACTAGAAGAATTAGATTTACCCCCAATTAATTACTTGACAAATGTTAGACAACTAAATAATTGGGTTGCTTGTTAATAGGCCTGATTAATTAATTTATTGACCAAATTTAATTAAATGAATTAATTAAATATTAGACCGGATTAAATTTAAGAAACAGGCTAAGTTCACTTGAATTTCATTAAGAGGTTGCTTGGGTTTGAAAATTCATAACAGAATATAATTATATTCTTGCTAGCATAAGAACAGAAAAACATATTTTTCTCAATCCTGTTCCCTCTAAGTGGATTTTCATTGAATGTTGGACAATTGAACAACAGTAGATTGCAGATCGTGATTGTTTGAGTTCAAGAAAAGTAAATGAGTTTGTAGTATTCAATAAAGGTATAATTTTTATAACAATTTCTATCTAAATACAAAGTAGATTTTTGGTGGAAATTGAAATTGCGTTATTTTCGCTGTGAATGATTAAGTAAATTTCCAAAAATTACCACACCAATTTGGTGATATAAAATTTGTTGTAATACTATTCATTTGATGTAATTTTAAAAGTTTTCCATTATTCCCTTTTGGCACTTTATCTTTTATTACCAAAAAAATAAAAATAAAAATAAAAATAAAATTACTTCTATCATTTTAATATTTAATGATATGACTTTATTTACTTATATTTTTAATTAACATTTACGTGTAAATTCAATCAATTAATAAATAATATAATGAGTATTAAAAGATTAAAATTGCTCATTAAAACTCAAAATATAAATTTGATAATTAGAGATTAACAAGAAATTATCAGTAGAACAACATAACTATTTAAAAAAGTAAAAGTACAATACAACATATAATTTTTTATTAATTTTTTATATTGTGGTATTCAGTTTAATTAATTAATTTTTTTTTAAAGTTTGTTGATAAATTTAAAATTTTAATTCATTAAACATAATTTTTAATAAACGCAATATCCAGTTTAATTACACATATCTCTTTTTCCTTATTTACGCATATAAGCAAAGTGAGTATGTATCCTCATTTGAATAACATGCCATCTTGTAATGTGAATCTGGCTGCTCGTATTCGCAATTTTTGTGCATTTTCTTAATCTTCAGAGAATGTTTCATCTAGATAGGATATATATTTTTTTGCATGCACTAGGCTTTTCCATATATTCATAAACTTTCTTCTCTTTTCTGGTTAATCGATGGTTTTGGTAATAACTCTAAGAGTACAATTTTGAATAGGTTTGCATCTTTAGCCCTCGCTAGTTTTGATAGTGCATTTGCATAACAGTTTTCTTCTCTAGGGATTTTTGAGAGCTCAAATTTGTTAAAATATCGTGACAAAATCGTGGCCTACGCCAGATATAAGGCCATCATTTTGTCTTTGTCCATGAACCTTCCATTTACTTGATTTACCGCTAATTGCGAAACACTTTTTATTTCTATGCTTCGAGCTTGCATTTCCTTTGCTAATCGTAAGCCATCTAATTAAGCTTTGTATTTAGTTACGTTATTGATTTTCTTAAATTGCGTAATTTAGATTGTGTCCCTCCGAGCTCGTCAAAATTATTCTTGCTTTGGCACCAATTTCTCCTAATGATCTCCACAAATAACTTCTATGCTTACTATTTAGGCTCTACCTTGGGAATGAGAATATTCAAAAGTTCCACTATAATACCTTCTAATGCTTGTGCTTTGATTGTGGATTGCCCCTTATTATAACTTATTTTGTATTGTCCCAATTTTATTGTCCATTTTATCAGTCTTCCCAATCCATCAAGTTTATGTAATACTTGCTTAAGTGGAGAATTGGTGAGCTTTGCTTACAAATGTATGTTAGCACTCGTTACTCCATTCGAACTTTTTCCTTCTTTGAACACTTGATGAAAGAAAGGAGAGCATTTGTCTGTTGCTCATAATACGAATCTACTTTAGGCAGCGATCCTTTTTGTTAAAATTTGTACTTCCTTCGATTTTGGAGACCTCATTTTAATGGAAGCTTGGATTTTATCAGGGTACTCCTCAAATACTTCGCTAGTTTATCATGAACACTAGGAATTTTTCAGATTTGACTTCAAAAGCACATTTCAATGGATTGAGTTTCGTTATATATTTTTGTAATACATTAAAGAATGCTTCTAAGTGTTTTAAGTGGCTTTTTGCTCAAAGACTTTTGACAAGCATATCATCAATCTATATTTTCATTGTATTACCAAAATTTATTTTTAAGAAGTCTTGACAATGATCATGTAATTGACATTTAGATCAATTTAAATGTAAATAGACAATAATATTAATGAAGGTATAACCATCATTTTCTTACTATTTTGTGAACTACTTATTCATATCGATGGTTTTAATTTGTAGTTACCTTATCGAATTGAGTAGTTACAATGCTTCCGAATGTTCTTACTATTTTGTGAACTACTTATTCATATTGATGGGTTTAATTTGTGGGTACCTCATCAAATTGAGTAGTTACAATGCTTTCGAATTTAGAGTACATTGCGATTACTTGTTCAATTTAGAGCTTTTTACTTGCTAATTGCAAATTGTTTGACATGTGTGTGAGAATTGTTCGAGGGTTCATGCATTTTAATATTATGTCAAATTGTCGATTGAGCTTGCCTTTCGATGGACAAGCCCTGGAAGTAATTTATTACACAAGAACGGCTATTGCATCTTCCACGTAAAATATAAAATATAATAGGTGAAAAAGACAAAAAACCTAAAAAGAATATAAAAACCTATGAAATTAATTAACAATTACTACACAATCCTCGTGTTACACGTCAGCCACATATTTTAAAAAAATATATTTTTCAATAGTGATTTAACATTATTTTAATTACACATTTTTCAATAAAATAATATTACACGCAAAAAAAAATATTATCTTATTTTTTAATTATATATTTTTCATCAGTACACTATTCAAAAATGCATTATTATCAAAATAATGTTGCTCAAACACCCCCGCCCACGCACCCCATAAATTTGTTGGATGAGTTCCGAAAGAGGGAGTTCCAGTAGCAGACACGTTTTACAAATTGCACGTTTTTAGCAATTTACAAGAATGAACCGTATACACTAAAACAAAGTAAGAAACAGCGTACAAAAATTAAAATAAAAGAAAAAAATAAAATCATCTTCACTCTCAAATTCTTAGAACTACAAAAGCATGCGGGTCAGGTATTTAGGCTTCAAGTTTCAGTACCCTGTTGCTAAATTGTATATTCATTGCTTGTTTATGAAGGATTTTCTATCTATCCATCTATATGTATGTGTAATCAGTATATAATTACTTTTTAGTGCATAATAATAAATAGATGTATGATTTGGTTGATTAAGTTAAAGGTGAGTTGAATGAAATTTTTTGATTATGTACTTATTAGATTTCTTTTTGACGTTTCCCTATTGAATTGTTTAGAATCTATGTTTGAGATGGTCAATCGATTTTTTTTTTTTTTTTTCAACAAGAATCGTGGAATTTCTCTTGGTATCTGTACGGAAATTTGTTGCACCCTTGTGCTTGTTAATGGCGGATGCCTTTAATTTGGGATACTTTCGTAGTTCAAGATTTGGGAAGCTTATGGATTTGTTTTGCTTGACTGCATAATTTATTATCTATCATCGATACAAAATCTGACAAATTAATATATGCACAACTTCATATTACCTACGGTTTTTATGTTCTTTTTCTCTAAAATTTCCAGATCTGGTGAACTCGTGTAATAATGGCCATGTACTGTGGCTGGAGTGAGGCTTATGTGACAGAAGCCTTCTAATTGTTTTTTCTCAAATAAGATTGTATGTGGGCTGCCATTTTACCCAATGTCTTCAACAAAGTCCGAGTTCGCTAATGAGGCAGTATATTCGTTGAGTAATCTTGTCCAAGATTGCAAGCCTTGTGAATTTAATTTGTCACATCTGGACGTATTAGCTGACACAAAGCAGTTGGGTCAAAAGTATGGACATGAGAAATGTTTCTTTCATAAACAAGTAAATGTATTGGATGCAGAGATCAGTTTATGTGCTGGTTATGCTGATGGAAATATGAAGCTGGATGTCGAGAACCAGCTTATTGAGGATTATTGTTCATCTTATTCCAAAAGTGATGCTGGTTTTTGTTCAGATCAACCGCTGAAAAACTGCCTTTCGCATGTCAAAAATGATCAGGATCATTGGATGCAGAAACTGGATCCTATAATTAATGACAATTTGCCCAAGACGCCAGTGAGCAAGAACACAGAAGAATTCCAGCTTGATTTGGATTCACATTGGATTGGATTTGAGAACGTTGAACCATGGTGGCACATGGCTGGTAAGGATGAGGTAGCATCGATGGTTTCTCAGTGGTCATTCCAACATATTAACAATTCTGATGTTCTGAAAACTCCATCCAAGCATTTTGGGAAGGGTGCAGCAAATTGTGTAAATTGTTTCAACCAAATTAAGGAACAAAACCCAGATGAAATGACTAAGGAATCTGATGTGGCTGAATACGCTGGTGGAAATCTTGCTTCAACAAGTGCAGATGAGTTGCTAGAACCCAAAGGGTCAGATGGAACATTCAGGTATTGCTTTGCTTAGAAGCTGTAAATCATCTCATTTCAGTATATGCTTGTTACATATGTCCATTTCTGGCTCAAATTTTTTGAGATCCCTGTTTGTTGTGATCAGTTTTTGATGGTAAAGATGTTATAATTTCATAGGTTTTCACCCCAGGTATAATAGAAGGTTATGTACCTTGAATGGCCCATGGTTTAATTAAGAGAAAGCGTATATTTCTTCAAGATGTATAGTTGGTTACTTGCTGATGGGACTTGAATTCGGTCACTGACGGAAGTGGGATATTCAATTATGAGAAGGGACAGCTAGTTTGATGTAATGCACTGTCCTTATGGATTAGATTGTCCCAACTTGCAATTCGTGCACCAGTTTCTGGTCATTTACTACTATTAATAAATGACCTGTCTTTAGAGTACTGAAATTGTGCCCATTTTTAGTAAAATCTTGAGAATTCCATGGTTGAGGTTTCTCAAGAGTAAAAATTGGTTAACATGCTATTGTAGTGCCTGCAGGAACAAAATTCATATCTTCTCTTAACGAACAGATTTCTTAAAAGGATAAAATTATTGGATACTGATTTTCCCAAGTTACATAACATTATTAACTGAGTGAATATTCTGTCCTTGCAGCAGTAATGATAGTTCTAGCGCTGCCAAAGTGGATAAATTGGATACACAGGAACAAGCAAGTGCCGATCTTAGCAGAGCTCAGCTATTGGAGGCACTTTGTCATTCTCAAACACGTGCAAGGGATGCTGAGAGGTTGGCACAAGAAGCGTGTGATGAGAAAGAGCATATTATTGACCTTCTTTTCAGGCAGGCTTCTTACCTCTTTGCATATAGGCAGTGGCTCCAAATTCTGCAACTAGAGACAGTATGCCTTCAGCTTAGGAAGAAAAATCTTCCCAACTCGACCAGCTTTCTACCACGGGTCAAAAGAAAAGGCAGGATATTGAGGACCCACAAACAGAGTTGTAACATAAGCAAGTGTGCAGTCGCTTTTGCAGTAGGCCTGAGTCTTGCTGGTGCTGGTTTACTGGTTGGTTGGACCATTGGGTGGCTTTTCTCTGTTCGCTAGACAACTGTATGGTTAATTACACAGGTGGTCACTAAAATATTGTTGAACTTTCATGTCGGTCACTAAACTTCAGTTCATTTCAAGTTGTTCACCAAGCTTGAATTTTGTTACAATTTGGTTACAGTATCCAGTTCCTTAAGTTGAACTAACAGGATAGGTGGTAGATAGTCTAGTTATCTGCTTAACGCCAACTTTTCTATTAGTCAAGTCAAGTGACATGATACACGTTTAAGATCAGTAATGAACTTCAAGTTTAAGTTCATCAATCATTAAATATCACCAAACTATTAGCGTCCACTGTGTTTTTAACCAGACAGGTATATTTGGATATTTTAGCTTGCTTTCCACCATGGTTAATGTAAATATGGCCAGACGTGTTTGCATAGAAAGGCAGAAGTGTGAAAGGACTTTGTGGTGTGGAGCAGTCGAGATAGGAAGGTCTCTTGTTTTGTGCATATATTGGGTGTGCTTATATGTATTCAGTTGGTGCAGATGAGTTTGGGAAATTATTCAATGATGTAATTATGGATGTATACATGTAAGTTTGCAACATATCATTAGATAATTGCATGCAATTGTGTAAAAATGTGTGTGTTTTCAGTTTGTTGTTCCATTTAAAATATTGGTTGGTGTTTGTTTGATATTACCATATGATGCACAATGATTGTATAATGCAGAAAATGAGACTGTTGAATTTTACTAATTTTACGAGTAATACTGCATTCCTTGCTTCTATTTCTCTTTAATTTTCATTCTTGTTCTGTGTTGCATCTATTTCTATTTCTCTTTAATTTTCATTCCTGTTCTGTGTTGAAATAAGAGTCCTTCAATTTCAGAGAGTGGGTTTGACAATGATACTGTTATAACATTTTACTCTATAATACTAATTTAGCATATCAAAGACGCTTTTAGTATAAATGCTTTTACCGATAGATTGAACCTTAGTCACATAGCGCGGTTTGGCCCCTATTTGAATCCTCTTTTTGGGATAAAATGAATTATGAAATAGTAATTATTTGGAGAATATGTGGTTAAAAAGTAGGAAAAAGTTTTTGAAATATGTGTATAATTTTTTTATAGAAGAATGTGTAGTTAAAAATGAGTTTTGAAAAAATGCATTCTTGTAAAAATGGCTCAAACAAGAGTTTAGATTGATTTAAGGTCAAACCATAATGGAGTTGAGCAGGTTAGATCAATAAATTGTCATCCAGTTTTGTATTTAGTATTACTATTGCCACTTTATTTGATTTTATTTCACCATGATCACTCACTTTCATAAAATGCTTCACCATGGTCATGTAAATTCTTTTTATCATTTTTACTAATTTTAAAAAGGTAAAATGGTAATTTTGCATTATATATAATAAATTCTAAAAAAATAAAAATAAAAGTATTTTTTTTTAAGAAACGTTTTTGTTAAAAAACATTTTTTAAAAAAGTTTTTATTTTATTTTATTTTTTTAACTTTTTTTAAGTAACTTTTCATTTTATTTTATTTTTCTAGATAACATTTTTATCTTAAAATAAGCTTTCAATTTATTTTTAAAATGTTTTTATTTTATTTTATTTTTTCAATTATTTTTTAAAATTTTTTAAATAACATTTTTATGAATAAGTTTTTATTTTTTTTTTTCAAAATAAGTTTTTATTTTTAATTTATTTTATATATAATGCGAAGTTAACGTTTTATCCCTTTTAAAATTAGGAAAAATGCTGAAAAGAAATTGGATGATCATGATGAAAAGAAATATGAAATTAAATGACCATAGTGACACTAATTATAAAGTTGATTGATCATAATAAAACAAAATCAAATTGAATGGTCATTGTGACACTAATTATAAAATTGAGTGATTACTAATGGTTTTAGCCCGAATTGAACATCTCAATTTATTTAATTCCCTATTCACATCAATTTGAATATGAAAATATAACCGAATTTTGCCCGAGTTATACAATTTGAGCTTAAACAAATTCTCAAATTTGGTTTGATTCTAGGGCTATGCAATCTCCACATACAAAACTCAAAATTATCCCAAGCATCACTGTAAAACTGCTTAAATACCTTTAAATTATTGTAAGTCAATATTACAAAACGAATAAATTTTTCTACCACCAAATCCCTTATATAATCACTGCCTAACTACTTTGACACATACACTATTATAATTTTCCCTGTATTAAATCTCCAAATTTGAGAACCGTTGAGAGATTGTACATTTTTATGACTAGTAAGGGTGAGTGATTGTTTGATTTCCCGCAAACGAACATGATTGTGAACAAGTAATAAAATAGTGAATAGAGTATCGAACTTACGAGCACCATGTGTTTGACCGAATTATAATTAATTGCAACTTTAATTAAATAGCAAACAAGTTTTGTGATTTTTCTATACTAATCCCTAAATTATCAATAAAACTAGTGAAAATAAGTAATTGTGTTTTTCAAATATATGAGATGCATTACTAAGATGTCGAGGCCCCATTATTATTCCATTTTTAGTTAATAATTAAAGTGACAATTTGAAATCATTCATAGTGGTCAATGTTCCTAATATAATTGAAAGCCTCTCTCGATAATGATCAAATTCATTCCCCTCATGTGACCCTTATATCTCTCGATAAAAGATGAAAACATGATAAATGCATTAAGAAATGCTAGAACACCTATTGAAATCGTATAAGACATAGAAGTATATTTTTATCCTCTGTCGAACCTTACCATGTTTATTATATTGTGCTTAAACTTTATTGTCTCTCTCGATAACAACAAAATCTACTAACAATTAATTGCGATCAAACAATTGAAACAAGCAATGAAAACTACAGTAAAAATCCACAAATCAAATCAAATTAAAGTCAAAATAATTAATTAAAAACTAAAAATAACATTTTAGCAGTGTATAAAACTATTCTAACATATTGAAATTACAATAAATCATATTTAAGCAAAAAGACATAACCCGAATTTTTGATAAATCAAGAAAATAAAGATGAATTTTGAAATTTTGAATTTCTTCTAAGGATATTTGATGAATCTCTACTTGGGCCTTCTCATCTTTGCTCAAAAATCAAGTTAGAATCTTCATTTGATTGAATTCTTGCAAGCTCCCTTTTAATTCTCTTACAAAAATTATGAATTTTGTCTCATCTGATGATAATAATTCATTAATGTATTCTATTGTTAGATAGTAGGAGTGAAAATTTGTTGATAATCACGTCCAAATTGGTTTCCAAAAAAGTTCTAATAGAATAAAGAAAGTTACCTTCGCATTCGCATATTTGTCGCTACACAGCAGTTAGTATTTTGGTTATGTTTCTCTCTTGATATCTAATTGAGATGTTTTAAAGTGCGTTGGAAAACTAGCTCAAATGGTACAAATTGTAGAATAGTTACTTGAATAATGAGTAACAAACTACAGTTGTGTTTGAGATCCTCCAACAATTCCATATTTGAACGTACATTTGAGATAGTGATGATTACGGTGGGTAGTACTGATACTCTTTTGCCATGTCAATCGCATTTGGCAATATTTACACATTGCTTTACACTATTGAACTCCGTAGACCGTACAACCTATTAAAATCAACTAAAGTGTTCCCAAACACTTTACAATTTTTTTACCCTTTGGCTTCCCTCACGCATTGGAAATTTCTAGTTTCAATTTGATAGAATTTTCATCAATGTCATCGAAATCACTTCGATTACTACTTTCTAAAGGGTCTTAAACTCCCAAATTCGAGAAATCCTAGGGAATGTAGATGTCATTGAGAGTGAAAAATTCATTGTGAAATTGAGATTGTGACGCCATAGGTGAGTGGTAACCGTACAAGCTCTCAACAAAAATATTATGATCCATGTGTTTGTAATATAATAGAAACATATAAAGAGGAAATAGAATTATAGTAAAGAATGTAATTTGAATGAAGATGAAATGTAAAAATTGGATATTATATAATGTAGTGTAAAGAAAAGAATTTAAATTTGAATTGCATAAATATGAAATGTATAAATGTGTAGAATCTATAAAATGAATTGAGATTTAATTGATTGATAGTATCTTGATTGTAGAGAGAATGTAGAATAGAGTAGTGAGTAGATAGTTTGTGTAAAAAATGGATAGAAATTGTGAAGTATTTGTAGAGTAATATAAAATTAATAATAATGAGTCTGAGCCATCAATAGGCCGAGTCTTGCCAAGTCAACAAGCTACTCGGCCCTTTTACCACTTCTACCGCTGTGATAGAATTTTGGAACAAAAGATAAAATGAGTGTGCGACGTGAGTACAATAGAAAGAAATGAGAGAGATCCATTACATAGGTTGGTTTTAGAGTTCTTGACTTTTTTGGACTTTCTATAATTTTTAATTTAAAAATTTAGAGTTACACATAAATAATTATTCATTTGACCCAAACAGATAGAATTGATGTCTCTTGAGCAAAGTTATGAAAAATCGATTGGCGAAAAAGGACGATTTATACAAATATAGAAAAAAATAAGGGTTTGGATTGAAAAATATTGATTTTCATTAATTATTATTGAGTTAATTGTTGTCGATTTTATATCACGCAAGTATACTGATCGTTACAAGTAAAATAATGGACCAATAAGTCCGGCTTATTATTCCCACGAGGATTATACTTCAATAATTAATTTATTATTTTCAACTTCTATTTGATGAAAATAAACAATAATAGTGATCGGTTGGGATTTTTAATCTAACTATTTAACAAGACGTGGACTTACACAAAGACTGATTGATATTCAAATAATAAACGGACATTCGGGTGAAACAATTTTACCTATTGATCATTTTTAAATCTTAAATCAAGATTCATAAAATCTAAGGTAGTGTTCGGTCGAATTCTCCTATTATATTAAATTTACCTCTCTCGAGTTCTTATTGAACTTATTTAACTACTTCAATTCCATATCTCTATGTGAATCAAACTTAGTTAAATGAAATATTCGTTCTAAGAATTTATATATGGCCACTGTAATTAATATAGGTATCTTTGCACGTTATATTAATTTACAATTTTAATATGTGGTCTAAACAAATAATTTGCATCTCTATTTAATTATTATTTACGAAATCATTCAATAATTGGCTAGACAATTTAAAGCATTGATAACATAATTAAAGTCAACATATATACATAAAGGAACTTGAATCTTGACTAAAAGAATTAAAGGGTATCGAAAGATTATATTGTTAGCCCTAATAAGAAATTTAGCTACTCATGTTAAGGAAGAAAAACAAAAAGTATAGAGCTCATAACCGAGTTTTGAAATCTTGATCATGAAAAGAATTGAATTTTGCACCAAAAATCTTCTTCAACCTCAAAAGTCTTTAACCCCTAGTATTTGCTATTTGATATTGATGATTATGTGTTTTTCTTTTCTTTAATCTTGCTCTCTCAATCTCAAGTTGTATTTGTTTTCCTCTTAATATGTGGAATCCTCTTTTGAAGTCTTCACCTCTTGTATTTATACTCCTCTTCACATTTTCCCCCAATTTAGGGTTTTTCTGGGCCTTTTACGAGTAAAAAACGCTGCAACCCTAAATTTAGCGTTGTGCTCTAGGAAACAACGCCTAGGTGCCGCAATGATAACCAGGGGTAGCATCTGGGCGCTACGAG